AATTTATAATTGAATGGGAAGCTATATAACTGGAACGCTCCTGCCAACAATGAACGTACCTATTGTGCGAGGTTTTCGTGTAATGAGATGGAAGAGCCTAACGTGTGAAAATTATTAAAGTTAGCAATATTGTAAAGTAATTGAATCAAATACAAACAGCGATATTTCATTGTGTGTGTAACCTAACAAGTTGTGTTAATTGTGAAATACCATTGCTAAGAACAGATATCACATGCATTTGTAATATTCGCCACAAAGGATAACTTCGCTGTCAAATCAATTATGCCACCCAAATGAAAAGATATTTGTTTTCTACACCTCAAGCACGAAAGAAAAAATCATCACACGCTTCGGAAACATTTGAGCAACGAGAAGCAAGATTGGAAACTGCTCGACTACGCAATGCTCAAACCCGTTCATCTGAAACAGTCGAGCAAAAGAAAGCAAGACAAGAAACCATTCGAGTACGCAATGCTCAAACCCGTTCGTCTGAAACAGTCGAGCAACGAGAAACAAGACTGGATTCCGATAGAGTACGCACTGCTTGATCCAGACGAACAATGCACGCTGAATTAAATCTTAGTGCATTCCATTACGATGCTAATTATGATTAGAGTCTTTATTCAAGTGTGGTTATTGGAAAAATCGATCAATTATGCGTGTCGTGTTATGCAGTGCCTTCAAATTTAAGAATGAAACACCGGGAATTTGTTGTGCGCGTGTGGGAATGTGAAATTGCCAGAATTACATTCACCTCTGGAACCATTATCAACGTTGGTATCAGATGGAACAAGCCAATCGACACATTTCTTGGCAAACATACGCAAGTACAATTCATGTTTCCAAATGACATCGTTCGGTGCAACAAATATTGTGTGCGAGAATTGCATGCCAAAATTTAAATTACAAGGCCAAATTTATCAACGTGCAGGATCTCTGATGCCAATGCCAAATATAAATAACACATTACTTCTAATTTATTTCATGGGGAATATGGATGAAAAAATTGATCAACGTTGTTGTATCGATACGGGCACTAAACGAGAAATCGTTGCTGTATTGCAAACGTTATTTTTGCAACACAACGAACTAATTCAAATGTTTAGAATTGCACTTGAAAAAGATGCTGACGGATGTTTACAGAGTCATAGTTAGAACACCTGTCGGCCAACACGAAAGACAATACAATGCACCAACAATTGATGAAGTGGTGATTGTTATAGTTGGCGAAGAATTTAACTTACGTCATATAATTCTTCATCGCAGAAGTGGCGATGTTCAGCGAATCTGAGAAACTCATCGCTCATGCGATGGATTGCAATATCCTATTTTATTTTGGCAAGGAGAAGATGGATATCATTTTAACATATAATTGAGAAATCCACAGACAGATGAGGAATCGAATAAGAAGGTCGCGGCCATGAAATGCTATTCATATTGATTGATGATCCGTGAGAGTGCCGAAAATCATATCTTGAAATGTCGACAATTGTTTCATCATTCCATTCGTATGTATGTGAAAATTGAAACCGAACGACTGCTCTACATGCGATTAAATCAGAGCAAGTTACATGCCGAAGAGTACATTCATTTACATGATGCAATTGTGAATGATTGCAATGTGAATCCAAATGAATTGGGGAAAATGGTTATACTACCTGTAACATTTACTAGAAGTCCACGTCACATGAATGAAATGCACAAAATGCAATGACATATGTTCGCGCATATGCTCGCCCAGATTTTTTTATTACATTTACATGCAACCCTGCGATGGGGAAATACAATAACTTGCATTAACTGGTCAATCAATATCAGATCGTCACGATATTACTGCGCATTTGTTCAAACAAAAATTGCAATCTTCGATAGATTTTATTGTCAAGTATCATGTTTTTTGAGAGGCACGCTGTTGGATGTTTTCCGTTGAATGACAAAAAATAGGATTGCTGACATGCACACATTTTAATTTGGTTGATCGAAAAAGTCAACCCAGATCAAATTGATAAAGTCATTTCTGCAGAAATACCAGATGCCAACGTTGATCAATACTTATTAGAAATCGTCACCAAAAACATGATTCAATGTCCATGTGACTTACTCAACAAAAATTCACCATGCATGTCTGATGGGAAATGCACAAAACGATACCCAAGAGATTTAATTGCTGAGACTATCACTGGCAATGATGGCCATCCAATGTATCGTCGACGATCAACTGAAGATGGTGGCAAATCAATTACTTTAAAAGTATGAAACAATGATGTCGAAGTGGATAATCGTTGGGTTGTACCATATTCACCGTTACTCTCGAAAACGTTCAAAGCAAACATTAATGTAGAGTATTGCAATTCGGTGAAATCGATCAAGTACATTTGCAAATATGTTAACAAAGGAAGCGATATGGCAATTTTTGGAGTGGAAAAAAAATCTGGATCAATCGATGAAGTCTAGCAATATCAACTTGGACTCTACATTAATAGCAATGAAGCAGTATGGCGCATTTCATCCTTTCCCATCCATGAACGCCATCCATTAAAGCCCATCCAACAGTTATTCATTTGGCAGTGCACCTTGAAAACGAACATCGAGTGTACTTTATAACAGCAAATGCACGTGTAATAGCAGTGTCACCTCTGTCAACAACGTTAACTGCATTTTTCTCATAGTGCCGGAATGATATTTTTGCAAATACTCTACTTTACTCTGAAGTGCCAACATATTACACATGGAATGCATCAGCGAAAAGTTTTCAACGTCGCAAACAGGGTAAAGCATTTGAAGAACACCCCAATTTATATTCGGCTGACGCATTAGGCCGTCTGTACACTGTTCACCCAAACAATGCAGACTGCTTTTACTTGCAATTACTGTTAATCAACGTACGTGGATCAACATCCTTCAAAGAAATGAGAACAGTAAACCGTCAAGTATGTCCCACTTATCATGAAGCTTGCCAAGAATTAAAACTTTTAAAAAGCGATACTCATTGGGATACTTCACTCTCTGATGCATCGAATATTGCTCAACAACAGCAAATACGCACTTTCTTGGCAATCATTTTGACAACTTGCTTCCCATCCAATCCAAAAGATCTTTGGGAGAAATACAAAGCGACATGAGTGAAAACATCCTACATCAATTGCGTGCAATGAATCAAAATCCGGACATTAAATTTACACCAAATGTGTATAACGAGGCATTGGTTTCGATTGGGGACTTATGTTTGGCAATCTCTAACAAAGCACTGGTAGAGTTGGGAATGACTTCTGCTAATCAATCTGCCAACAAGCTTTTTAATCGTGATTTGCAACGAGAAACGCACTTTGACATCGAAGAATTAGACACATTTGTTCAGATGAATCTTCCGAAATTGGCTCAGAACAACTCATAGTTTATGTCAGAATTATGCATGCACTCATCAGACAAAGCGGTGAACTATATTTCCTAGATGCACCCTGAGGCACAGGAAAAACTTTCCTAATTTCACTTATTTTGGTGACAATACGATCGCAAAAAAATATTTGCACTGGCTGTCGCATCATCTGGAATTGCAGCAACTCTTTTGGATGGTGGCATCAACAGCTGCTGATAAATTAAATTGCATGTCACAAATCATCAGCTTTATGGCGACATTCACAGAAATTGACTTTGAAGACCAATATGCGTGTACAACTACATAATGATTCATCCGCTGAACGTTTTGCAAAACAATTGTTGGACATTGGGAAAAGGAAAATGGCAATTGGTGAATCCTTAAAATGTATCACATTGCCAACAATCTTCTGTAAAATTACAGCAAACATTGACGAATCGATTCAAAAAATTTTTTCCAACTATCGTACAATATTATAAAAATCATCAGTGGCTCTGTGCACGTGCTATATTAGCAGCCAAAAACAACTATGTCAATGCCATCAACTTAAGCATTGAAAATGAAAACCCAGGCAAAAAAAGACAACGTATGAGTCCATCGATACTGTATTGAATAAAGACGAAGTTGTCAATTATCCAATCACTTGATTTGCCAGGCATTCCATCGCACGTTTTAACACTGAAAATTGGCGTGCCTATTATTCTTTAACGAAACATAAATCCACCACGACTTTACAACGGTAACATGTTTCAGGGGAAAATATGATGAAAATTACCATCGAATTCACTTTTTTAAAATGTAAAATTAAGGAGGAGAAGATATACTGTTGCCACGCATCCCAATGATTCCAACAGATATTCCATTGGATTTCAAACGTCTGCAGTTTCCAGTGCGACACGCGTTTGCAATGACTATCTAGAAAGCGCAGGGACAATAGCTATAAGTTTGCAGACTAAATTTGGAAAACCCCTGCTTCTCCCATGGATAGCTGTATATCCCCTGCTCTCGCTTTGAAAAACCTTCTGATTGATTCGTGTATGCACTAGACGTAAAAACAAAAAAAACATTGTGTATTTAAATCTCTACAAGAAACATAATTAAAATGCAACTTTGTTTGATTGGCATTGCAAGACATGCCGGGTACTCGCTAGTTACACATAATTCTCTATGGTTGAAAGAAGGTATGGTTGAATAGCGAATTCAGTAGCGTGAAATATATAATTCCCGATAACTACGCTAAATGATTTTTTTTTATGTAACACAATTGCGTTTGGAGCGTAATAGTTTCTTTTCCGAAAATGAATACGTCTCAATTTAAATATGGTGTAATAAATATTCGGTTTAATAGTGTTTGGAACACAAGAATATGGTAATGGCTCATAGACGTGAAGTAAGAAGTGTGCAGTGATGTTTCATGGGGGAAGGTGTGTATCAAAAATTGGGATTCTTAAATATGCGTTACTTGAGTTCAGTTTTTTTCAAGTAACTTTAGTAGATGGGAAGTTCACGTATTAAGGTTGCCAATTCTTGGTGAGCTATAACAAGTATTAGTGTATTGTGGTACTGAAAATACACGCAAATTAAAATAAGGCAGACAAGATCAGTTTTGTCATGTAACTATCCCTGGTAATTCAAAGCACTTAATCTTTTTTTAATGTATGGTTATTTCCTTTTTTTCCTTTCAATACAACAAATTAAAAAAAAATAAGCTTATTTGAATATTGTTAACACACATGTTTATGGTGTCATTTCATTTTATTTTTTCAAAATGTTCTTTTATTTTTCAAATCTCTTTCAAATAGATCGTTTAGTTCCAACCTTGGGCGTAAAGCCACTTAGCTCTTGCGATGACGTCATTGCTGTAGTCGTTGCCGGTGGTTCCGATGTCAAGCCCACCTAGAGTCTGAACGTTGCCCACACCAAAGTTGTAGGCAGCAACACCACCTGGTCGTGGACATTGATAATGACATTAAGGTGATACTCTCAAAGACGAAAGCATTTTATTCCAGAAACAGGAGAAATCTTTCATCAACATCTATGTTAAGTCAAAGTGTTTTGTTACATGATTATTTTTTTAATTGATTCATATGTACAGTATCATACAAAATACCTTGTAGAGCTTGGCTTTGTGTCCAGCTGGGATGTCTAGCATGCACCTGAGAAATTCAGCAATGCAATGAAAAGGTTACGTCGATTCATAGTTCATCGTTCATGGGGCATTTAATGGAGATTTAATTGTGAAATTAAATAAAGACTTAAATAAGGACTTAAATGAAGATATAAATGTAGACTAAAAGGAAGATAAAAATGTGGACCTTTAAAATGTTTAGTTCCTGCACCCAGGTATCATATTGAAATTAAAATGTTGATTCATTTACCTATGTATCATATTGAAATTAAGACTCTTAAAAATCATATAATTCATAATAACTTGTTTATTTACTTTTTCGAAATATAAAATATCTAGGTATTTAAAAAATCTCATAACTTTAAATAATTTACAATAGCCAAGCAAACTTACTACCAAGACGTATGTGTTTAAAGGCAGTGCCTTGGTCCCTTTTTATATTTTTTTACTCTTATTGGCATATGATCTACCTGTTATGTTATACTACTTGTTGTTAACTAACCTGGTTGATGTAGGGTACTAGGAGTCGGTGAACCATCATCTCAATATGAGCGCAGCTGTCCCAAGGCACGGACTTACAAGGCAGACCGGAGTGAGTGATGTCACACTGAGATGTAACAAAAAGATTTGTCGTTAACATGTGGTCTTTATGTACATATATATGTACATTCAGAGAACTAAATTAAATTCAAATGTAGACATAGTTTGTAATCCAGTTAATGAAAGCTCATATTATATTTGATAAACTTTACCTGCAAAATACCCCAGGCTGCTCCATTATCACCGTAACCTCCTGTGCTAACTAGGAGACTTCCGCCTCTGGATTCCCTACTGGCAAGGGCTGCAATTACTGAAGCTTGAATACCTGTACCGAGAGGGAGTATACTTATAATTAACATTCTTTCACTGGTCTTACAGTATTGCACTTGTAACTGCTGTCATATATTTAGTGATCTAATGATTATTGCTGGAAGGTCAAAATAGTATAAATTGAAAAGTAATTTTGGATTTGCGTGAGACTCTTTGTTATGAACTAGCTTCCTAGTTGAAATTCAGTCAAAGAGATTTACTATGATATTATTTAAATTGTTTTTACATTTTCGCAACCTTAAATTCATAGTGGGAATTTTATTTAGCCCTTTACAAATAAACCTACAATTCGTGTCAGCGCTGGCCTGGTAACAGCTTTTGTGATTGTTTAATGCGGGTAGATCATGTTGAACTTCGGCGTTAGATGCAGCAACACCTTGGAAGAGTTGTTTTTTTTTAAAATTGTTTTAATTAGTTAAAAGGGGAAAAAATCGCATTCAATCCAAATTGATATCAATTTTACAAAATAGAAATTTTGCTTTAAATCAAGATTAGACAATCAAGATTTTTCATATCAAAATTAGACACCCAATATGATGTATATCAAATTAGACAATCAAGATGATGTATATCAAACTTAGACTATCAAAATGATGTTCATCAAAATTAAGAGCAAAAGATGTTTTTTTATTTTTTTTAAATCAATGTTTTGTAATATATCAAAATTAGAACTTTAAGCTGTGTTTTATATTGGAAATATTTTACAAGGTCACTTTTGAACACGTTAACTTGTCTTTTACAAGGTCATTTTTGAACACGTTAACTGGTCTTTTATAAGGTCACTTTTGCACACGTTAACTTGTCTTTTACAAGGTCATTTTTAAACATTTTAACTTGTCTTTTACAAGGTCACTTTTGAACACGTTAACTTGTCTTTTACAAGGTCATTTTTGAACACGTTAACTTGTCTTTTACAAGGTCATTTTTGAACACTTTAACTTGTCTTTTATAAGGTCACTTTTGCACACGTTAACTTGTCTTTTACAAGGTCATTTTTGAACATTTTAACTTGTCTTTTACAAGGTAACTTTTGCACACGTTGACTTATCTTTTACAAGGTCACTTTTGAACTCATTAACTTGTCTTTTACAAGGTCACTTTTGCACACATTAACTTGTCTTTTACAAGGTCACTTTTGCACACGTTAACTTGTCTTTTACACGGTCACTTTTGCACACGTTAACTTGTCTTTTACACGGTCACTTTTGCACACATTAACTTGTCTTTTACAAGGTCACTTTTGCACACGTTAACTTGTCTTTTACAGGGTCACTTTTGAACACGTTAACTTGTCTTTTACAAGTTCACTAGCACACGTTAACTTGACTTTTACACGATCATTTTTGAACACTTTAACTTGTCCTTTACAAGGTCACTTTTGCACACGTTAACTTGTCTTTTACAAGGTCACTTTTGCACACGTTAATTTGTCTTTTACAAGGTAACTTTTGAAATAATTAACTTGTCTTAACAAGGTAACTTTTGCACACGTTGACTTATCTTTTACAAGGTCACTTTTGAACTCATTAACTTGTCTTAACAAGGTAACTTCTGCACACGTTAACTTGTCTTTTACGACGTCACTTTTGAACTCATTAACTTGTCTTTTACAAGGTCCCTTTGAACAAGTTAACTTATCTTTTACAAGGTCACTCTTGCACAAGTTAACTTGTCTTTTACAAGTTCACTAGCACACGTTAACTTGTCTTTTACAAGTTCACTAGCACACATTAACTTGTCTTTTACAAGTTCACTAGCACACGTTAACTTGTCTTTTACAAGTTCACTAGCACACGTTAACTTGTCTTTTACAAGTTCACTAGCACATGTTAACTTGTCTTTTACAAGTTCACTAGCACACGTTAACTTGTCTTTTACAAGTTCACTAGCACATGTTAACTTGTCTTTTACAAGTTCACTAGCACATGTTAACTTGTCTTTTACAAGTTCACTAGCACACGTTAACTTGTCTTTTACAAGTTCACTAGCACATGTTAACTTGTCTTTTACAAGTTCACTAGCACATGTTAACTTGTCTTTTACAAGTTCACTAGCACACGTTAACTTGTCTTTTACAAGTTCACTAGCACATGTTAACTTGTCTTTTACAAGTTCACTAGCACATGTTAACTTGTCTTTTACAAGTTCACTAGCACATGTTAACTTGTCTTTTACAAGTTCACTAGCACATGTTAACTTGTCTTTTACAAGTTCACTAGCACATGTTAACTTGTTTTGACAAAGTCACTTGCACACGTTAACTTTCCTTGTTTACCTCCTGAATGTTTCCCTGTCGGGGTGAGAGTTGTGATGTCGCCGTGACAGGTTCTTGGTGCTGGAAACAGACAAGTCAATAAACTGACCCTATAGTCGGCCAAATTTTATGTGAGATAAATAGGTTTTCTCTTGATAAATGTAGATTTTTGCGCATATTGGAAACCGACTGAATTTTACTATTACCTGATGGTGTGGGAATTCCTCCCTTCTCATTCAACACCGATTAAATAGACTACTGAAGTCATTATGGTCACTAAATGAGTTCCTTGATGGATGATATTATGCTAGAGAAATACTTTAGATGTCTTGTGTTTAAATTGTTATCATTGTAAAAGTTTGTCTTGATTTAAGCATGTATTTATTTATGTGCTGAAAATGAATATGTACAATACACACAAACAGAAAATATGGATCAATAAAGAATCCTATCTAATGCTATCCAGAGAGCAAATTATATCGCTTAAAAAAAACATTATATTCGCTTGAAGAACTATTGTAAGCAATATGCATTTGTAAAACTTAAAAATTTGGTTGATACACCCCCACCCCTACTCTCTTCATCACAGATACGTTAGGTCAGCTCGGTCAGGGCGAATTCTGTCTCCAAAAGTTAGGACCGAAAGAAATACAAATTCGTTTGTTCCCAAATCAATCAGAATTGACCAGAATGTTTCCCCGGCTGATAAAAAATTCTAAAAAATCGCTCTTAAAGTCAATATTGTCATTGATTGAGTCAAGTTCCATATCATATGATGCTTAATTTTTTCGCTTGAGAAATACTTTTTGACGTCTTATGTTAAATTGTTCTAGTTTAAAATTGTTTGTCTGTAAGAATATAGATCTATGTTCTGAAAATGAATATTATGTAAAATATTGCCATTTCATTAAATAAATAAAATAATCTTATCTAACTTTTTTTGTAAAATAAATAAAAACACAATGGCATTTGGTATAATTGTGCATCATTTCATCAAACAAAGAGAGTTGTATAGCCTGGTTAAATTTTCCTCATAACTAAATACAGAGATGGTGTTCAGAGAATGGTCGATCATTGTTAGTATAGGATTCAAATGTCTAAACACAAGTGCATTGACACAAGAGAAAACTTAATGGGGTCATAACTTTTTTTAAAATTTGACTTAAAATTAAACTTTGTCTTACCAACTTTGACCTACCTGCGTAGGAATAAGCTACCAAGGCAGATAAAACAATAACAAACATCTTGGATTTGTTTTCAACTTGGAATAACCACTGTTTAACAAAATCTATGGCTTTCTATTTATACCCTAACAATGCGAGTGAAACCAAAAAAACTTGGGCCATGAGCCTGCTGACCTACAATTCCAAGAGACCTTTTTTATTCTTACGAAAAACAAAACTAGAATCACACACACACATACACTCACATAAGTACACACACACACACGCGCGCGCACACAAAAACACAGACACACTCGAGGAATATGTGCATTCAATACTTTTAAAATAGGATTTCAATACTATGATGGTTCTGGTGCGTTTATAACTAATCTTCTTGTTTCTCAAATTATTATTATTTTTTTAAACATTTCAACTTAGAAAGGAAATATTAGCTATACTAGCTGGGCATAGTGTATTATGTAATTAGAATGAATGTATTAAGAAGATTTTAATACATGCATTTGTAATAATTTACTTTTAATGTAGAGACGATAGCATCTTTTAAATACGATTTTGTGATATTTTAGTTCAAAAAAAGATTTAGATCCTGCTCCAGCTGTGCCCTGAAATTTCTTTGGTTTAAGCCCGTGATTATAGTCAGTGGTGAAAGGCTTAATTAGGTCAAAAATTCCAAAGTGCAAACCTTTGATGACAAGGGGTGCCTCCGCATTGAAGAGTAGTCTACCGTCGCTATGCTAGTAAACTAAAAACGGGCATGCAACAATGCTCAGAAATATTCTCAACATCTAATGACAGGACAAGGTCCCAGTGTTATACAATCTAGCTGGATATTAAAATCCAAATACAATGATGAATTAAGAATACCTTGGTAGAGTGCCTCATTCCCACTTTTTTGGTTTTAACCTGTTATAAAATCATATATCATATATATATATATATATATATATATATATATATATATATATATATATATAAGTGAAATTTTGTTTGTTCCACAAAGGCTTTTGCATGGATTGATGGATCTTGACCAAACTTGGTACATATATCCATCATGATCCAGAAGGAACTCTTAACGGTTATGGAATTTTAAAACATTCCGTTTGGGGCTGGGGGCCCCGAATTCGTTTTTTTCCTTACATGAGCTATATAAATAAAATTAACATCAACTACTCCTACATGAGTAGATCGATCTTGGCCAAACTTAGTACACATACACTTTATTATTCATATTAAAATACCGAAGTGTATTGAACTCATAATATCCATTGCTTTGGGGCCGGGGGCCCAGTTCAATTATTTGCTATATAAGCCATATACATTTAATAGGCTTAGTACTTCTTCATGAATAGATGGATCTTGACCAAACTTACTACACATATACTTGATTATCCATATTCAAACACCGAAGGTTACTGAATTCATAATATCCATTCTTCTAGGGCCGGGGACCCCATTTCATTTTTCCTTATTTAAGCTATATGAATATCAATAGGCTTATTAATGAACACTGTAGATTCTATGTGAATTGAGGGATATAGGCCAAGCCTGGTTTCCATACACTTCATCGTTCTTTTTGAAATATCGGTGGAATTAAAACTAAGAAAATCCAATCCATGCAGGGCAGATCTTGAATTTTTTAGAACGTTCGATCATTTAAAAAAAGGCGATATCTATGGCATTGTTAAACCGATTTGCAAATTTTGACTCTATAAATTATATCAATCAATGATTTGTATAGCCCCCCCCCCCCTCATCTCAGACATAACTAAAACCATAATTTATTAAATGGGCCCCCACTGGGGCCCTATTTCAATTTTAATTTACTATAGTTATAGTAGTACAATTAAGTTGTATAATATTTCGCATTCGAGAAGTAAATTTGTCTACGTTTCATCGATGGTATTAAATTTAATCTAGAATGTTCTTGAATGGTCTATATTGTTCTATGGGGATATATAATAAGATCTAAAACTTATTCAAACAAAATAGCACTGAGTATGATGCCATAGAGGAACATGATCCCAATGGGGCACGAGATCCAACAGTAAAACTTGAACCCATCGGTTACACGATCCCATAAGGAACGGGGTACATAAGGAAACGGGACTGCACGGGGATTAGGGTCCTAATGCAAACCCGTGCAAAGCCGGGTATATCGGCTAGTATATATATAAAAGTGAAAGTTTGTGGCGGTGTTTGTATGTGGGTTTGTTCCACAAAGGCTTTTAAATGGATTGATGGATCTTGACCAAACTTGACAATATATCCATCATTATCCGGAAGGAACTCTTATGGGGTTATGACCTTTTAATTACATTCTGTTTGGGGCCGGGGGCCCCGAATTCGTTTTTTTTTTCCTTATATGAGCTATATAAAAATAATTAGGAACAAATACTCCTACATGAGTAGATGGATCCTGACCAAACTTAGTACACATATACTTTGTATCCATATTCAAATACCGAAGGGTACTGAACTCATAATATCAATTCTACTGGGGCTGGGGGCCCCATTTCATTTTTCCTTATATAAATATCAATTGGTTTAATACTTCTACATGTCAGGATGTATCTTGACCAAATTTATAACACATACAAATGATCATCCATATTTAATACCAAAGGGTACTGAACTCACAACAGTATAGGTTCTATGTGAATTTATGGATCTAAACCTAGCTTTGTTCATTACGCTTCTAAGTACGGTGGATTTGAAATATCGGTGGATTTAAACTAATAATATCCCATCTAGAGACCGACCGAAAGTGATTTTCTGATTTCGGCCGAAGCCGAAAATATGCCGAAAGTTTAAAATGACTTTCAGACGAAACCGAAAAAAGACCGAAAGTTTAAAAATGACCTTCGGCCGAAACCGAAAAAAGACCGAAAGTTAAAAATGAATTTCGGCCGAAGCCGAAACCGAAGCCCAAACCGAAAATGAAATGTTAAGATATTTTGAAATTCGTTCCCACATACACTCTGCATACATCGAAAATGATGTGGGAAAGTATAAATATTTACATTCTTTTTATAAAAAATGAGATAATCGTGAATATTAATAAATAAACATCTAATATAGGGTTCTCAAACTCGCGGCCCGCGAGCCATTTGTGACCCGCAAGACGATATTTTGCGGCCCGCTACGTGACAGAAAAGTTTAGTGTAAATG